TCCGAGTGAACTAAAACCCAAATGAGTTCCCAAATAAATGAGAAGTAGAGTTAGGGTTAGAAAACTGAATGAATTCAATACAAATCGTATGTTAGATCGGATGGGAAACCAGAATGTGATAAGACTTGTAATGATGGCCACAAAGGCTGGCATTGAGATAATGTAGTGATAAAGAGAGGGCCGGCGTTGGACTCGGAAGAAGAAGCTGATGGAAGGGTACGGCTCTTTACAGCAGTCGTAAAATTTCACGTCTCGCGTCACGTTTATGTAACTGATGTCAAACTCGGTATTCTTCCAGATATCGTTCAAAAGACCCGGATTTGTCCGATCTATTCATGTAAACAAAGAATATTTAAAAAAAACATAATTAATTAAAACAATATGATATGAAACATGATAACTTAACATCAAATTGTAATTTTGTAATAGATGTTTGAATAAAATTTTAAATCATTAGTTGTTTTACACTATAATTCTATAAAAACCATGAGAAAAGTGTTGTCAACTCACTCATAGGGAATACATCCATAATGTATCCGTCGTGAGTCCACGAACCAAACTTTATGAAACAAATGTGTTCATCGTATGGCCATCTCTTGAGGTTCACCCGACACATGGCCTTTAGAGTCATGGGTGGCACCCATAAGACATTACCATTTCTATAGACAATGGCATTGGTGTTGATAATCCTGGGACTGCCGTAATCGACGCTATTATAGCTCATTAAATCGGGTAAATATAACTGAGTCGATGGTATCCTTATATTAGGAATATGTCGAAGCGCTGTTGTGTCCCACGCGAGGCTCCCGTCGTGCCTAACAGTCATTTAACAACATATTTATGTTAATCTTTGAGTAAAACAAAGTTTTATTATTGCAAACAACAATAAGATAAACAGCAATGCATTCATACCACGATGAGAATAGCCAGCCCTCGGCGGTCAGTATTTGACTCCTTATATCCTAATATATTAAATGTAGTCAATGATAATGTGTTGTAACACAAAGAGATAGGCATTTAATACTTACAAAATTAGTGATATGAATGAGATTGTAATCAATAGACACTCGGAATATATCATTCTTAGGTATGGGTCGAGCGAATCGGTCGTAATCTCGGGACACAAACAGTAGTTTTCGTAGTTCTTTCAAATCGGCTAAAAATATAATAAATGTATTATCAGTATGTCTTCGTATGGGTTATCTATGATCACTCACCAGTGGTCACATTATTAGAGTATTCATTATATGCAGTGATTAGTGAAATGTTGAGCACAACTATCACTATTAGTGCTCTCATAATGAGAAATATTGGTATGAATTATGAATTCTTGAAGTTTTTGTCTTTGTTTT